AAGCAACTTAAATAGACTTTTCTCTAAATAAGATGTACAGATGGCCAATAAGCATATGAAAAGATGGTAAACATCAGTATTCATTAGTGAAATGCAAATCAAAATCCCATTAAACTATCACCTTGGACCCATTTGATGGCCATTGTTTAAAAAAAACCAAAAAATAATACGTGTTTGTAAAATGAGAAATTAGAACCCTTGTGCATTGCTGGAAGGAATATAAAATGATACAGCTGCTGTGGAAAATAGTGATGTTTCCTCAAAAAATTAAAAACAGAATTACTATATATATCTAGCTATTCTACTTGTGAATATATACTCTGAAGAATTGAAAGTAGAGACTCAAGTATTTGTACACTTATGTTCATGGCAGCATTATTATAATAACCAAAATGTGTAAGCAGACCACATGTCCATTGATAGATGAATGGATTTAAAAAATGTAGTGTAGCCCGGCGCTCCCTCCCCACCCCCCAGGTCCGCCAGCCGCCACCATGTCCGCCTCGGCTGTCTTCATCCTCGACGTCAAGGGCAAGCCCCTGATCAGCTGCAACTACAAGGGTGATGTGGCCTTGAGTGAGATCGATCACTTCATGCCTCTGCTAATGCAGCGGGAGGAGGAAGGTGTGCTGACCCCACTACTGAGTCATGGACGGGTCCACTTCCTGTGGATCAAATACAGCAACCTCTACTTGGTGGCCACCACACTGAAGAATGCCAACGCCTCCCTGGTGTATTCCTTCCTCTACAAGATAGTGGAGGTATTCTCTGAATACTTCAAAGAGCTGGAGGAGGAGAGTATCCGAGACAACTTTGTCATCATCTACGAACTGCTGGATGAGCTTATGGACTTCGGCTTCCCACAGACCACAGACAGCAAAATCCTGCAGGAGTACATCACGCAGCAGGGCAACAAGCTGGAGACGGGCAAGTCACGAGTGCCACCCACTGTCACCAATGCTGTGTCCTGGCACTCGGAGGGCATTAAGTACAAGAAGAATGAGGTCTTCATCGATGTCATAGAGTCCGTTAACGTGCTGGTCAATGCCAACGGCAGTGTCCTGCTGAGTGAGATCGTGGGCACTATCAAGCTCAAGGTGTTTCTGTCGGGAATGCCAGAGCTGCAGCTGGACCTCAGTGACCGTGTACTCTTCGAGCTCACTGGCCGGAGCAAGAAGAAGTCTGTGGAGCTGGAGGATGTGAAATTCCACCAGTGTGTGCGGCTCTCT